TTGTCTCTAGTGTGCTTGAGTGAATGTCAGTGAACTTGTGTGCGGCAGTAAGCTTGTCTGTAGTGAGCTTGTGCATGGGTCAGAGAGCATTGTGTGTATCGGTGAGCTTGTCTGTAGTGAGTTTGTTTGTGTCAGTGAGCTTTTCTGTAGTCAGTGTGTGTGTGTGCCATTGAACTAGTGTGATTTATTAATGTGGAACATCCTTTTAATATATATATTTTCTGAAATTATATAATTGACACACTGATGCCGATATGCTGATATCGGCATGGAGTATTTCCCTGCTTAAAGAATTGTACCCAAGCAGAGCCAGTCACAACGGACAGGGAGCATCCTGGAAGGTGGCGGTTATATGGTAACACCCATGGATCATCTGTAGCGAGGGGCTGCAGGTAAGACAAAAATCTTCCAACGTACATACATATAAACAATACAAGCATACTATGTGACACAATGAATTAGAGGGCTGGAATAATTTTTTTTCCAGGGCTGCTTTCTGTTCCCAGTCCGGCCCTGTGTGTGGGGCAATGTGTGTATGGGGGGCTGTGTATGTGTGTGTGTACAGCAGTGTGTGTTTGGGGCTGTGTATGTGTGCGGGGGCAGTGTGTGTGTGTGCATGGGGCAATGTGTGTATGGGGGCAGTGTGTGAATATGTATGGTGTGTGTGGGGGCAGTGTGTGTATGGGGGGCAGTGTGTGCCGCACGGTGCCTGTGGTACAGGGAGGGAGATCGGCTGGCAGGGGAGAGCCTCGTGGGGGGGAACTGCCCTGTTGCCTCCCCCCCCGATCCACCAGTGATATATACAGCCCCTGTGTGTGTCTCTTTATCTCCAGCCCCTCTGTGTGCCTTTTTGTCTCTCCCAGTCACTCTGTATGTTTCTTTCTCCCCCTCACTACTCCTCTGTGTCCATGTCTCCCCTCTCCTTTCCAGTCTCTCCTTTCCCCGTCTCTTTCTCCCCCTCCCCTTGCGTGTCTCTCTCCTTTCCCCCTCTGTCTCTTTCTCCCCCTCCCCTTGTGTGTCTCTATCCTTTCCCCTCTGTCTCTTTCTCCCCCTCCCTTGTGTGTCTCTATCCTTTCCCCTGTCTCTTTCTCCCCCTTTCCCTGTCTCTCCACCACATCTCCCTCCCCTTGTCTCTCTTTCTCCCTCTATTCCCCTCTGTTTTATTTTCCCCCTCCCCTTGTGTCTCTTTATTCCGGTCTTCCCCCTCCCATTTACCTAAGAGGAGTCAGGGGGGCTGGCTGCATTCCACGCTGTATCTGCCGGGCCGGGTGGCAGCCTCACCGGTCCGGCGGCACTCCTGTCACTGATGGCTGAGGAGTAAAGAAGGAGGCCACTCCTCAGCCATTAGTGACAGGAGTGCCGCCGGACCGGTGAGGCTGCCATCCGGCCCGGCGGCTCCAGCGTGGAATGCAGCCACCAGCCCACCAGCCCCCTGAGAGTGTGTGCCACCAGACCGGCCACCCGGTGGCACATACATACTCAGCGCAGCCCCCAGATGCCACGGCCCACCGGGAAATTTCCCGGTATCCCGGTGGGCCAGTCCAGTCCTGCTGATTGGTCCACATCATCATTGAGACTCAAAAGTCTTGCCGCTCAGCCACGTGGATCGGCTGGACCACGCGGCAGGAGGAGGTGAGTGAAGGCAGGAGGAGGCCTGGGTTGTCTATATTTAAAAATGGTATACCATGATGGAGGTACTTTTCATTCCTGGGTTGCCATACAGTCTTAATGGCAACCCTGCAAAGCAATCTGGCAAATTTCAATTTTAAAAACTGAAATAAGCAAGCGCTTTATTTGACTCTGTAACTTTCCAAAACACCATGAAACCTATACATGGAGGCTATCATTGTACTCGTTGGACATACTCGTTGGACACAATATACAAATATGTGTATTTTAGTGCAGTCAAAGCAAACAATTTTATGACATTTAAAGTTAAAATGTCATGCAAAACTTGGAAAACGAATAACATCTCTTATTTTTTTTAATACTTTTTAGATTTGATTTCATGTGAAAGAAAACTCAGATGTATCTTGAACAAAATAATATATAATAAGTGTGGGTGCACTTACTATGAAAGTGGTAAATTATGGTAGAACAGATATAAAGCTCAAATTATATGTTCTGTTTTGGTTTAGAACTTGGCAATTGCCTCCATCCATAAGGGATTAACTGGCTTATTCTAGTCAACTGTTACCGCTAATTCTTGACCATATATTAGTTCTAACTTTGGCATATGTCTAGCTTTAACATAACTTGTTTTCTCATTATGCTGCTGTGAATCAGAATTCAGAGTGATAATGTTTATCTACTATTTTCTGTTATTCTACTATTTTCTATTTGGTCTCTTGTCTCTCTGCAGACTTTTACTATTACATGAATAGATAGATAAGCAGCTACTTTACAGGGGGTGCTATAAACCTCCAGTTTCTTTAGTGCTATGTGTCAATAAATTAATGAGGTTTTAGCAATTCTCCAATAACATGGTTATTCAGTAAAGTGAGAATTTCAATGAATTTGAAAGTTAAATTTAAAGTTAATTTGAAATTTAAGGTGAAAATAGCAGAACTGGAAAACAAATCTCCCAGTTAGCTATGCTTATAGTTCTATAATCATACAAAAAGTATATTAAAGGAACACTATTGGGTCAGAAACACAAACCTATACTCATGACCCTATAGTGTTAAAGCCACCATCTAGCCCGTCGGACCCAACCCTCTTTGCAGCCCTAAATATAGTAAAATATTACTTGTATTTAAGTCTACAGCTGCTAGCTCTGCCCCTGTCTGCCTCTGACCTGCCTGCTGTCTGCTGACATCATCAGAAGTGGTGGTCTGAGCCAATCACAATATTTCCCCATAGGATTGAGCTAACAAGAACAAGTGGGATACAGTTGCATACCTAAAAAAGTAAAAATAAACTGGACATAGTGTAACAGTATATCAAAGTTATTCCACTGCTGTAATGATTGCACTCACAGACATCAATGAAGTATGTGCATATCACAAATCCTCCCCTGTGTGGGTGTTGGATCCAGAAATCCTCTTAGTATTCCGGTCACTCGAGCAGATATCAGGAACACTATTGGTAGGTAGTATAAAAAAGATTTTATTGGTATAAAACAATAAATAAAATATAATAAAAATAAAAATAAATGAGGTCCTACATGTTTCTTTTTCTCATGGTAACTTCCTCCGGGACCAAAAATGATTTAACATTAATAACAATCAATGCCAAAAAATTAATCAGCCTACCCATCCCTCAGTTCCCTGTTCTTATATAGGGTAAGTCCCGATGTCAGTCACCTGTGTTGGGGAACATCCCCCTTCAATGTGTCCTTCAAAATGAATTGATATGATTAAAATCTAGGCATTAATATATTTTATTTCAAGCAGATTCAAGCAATTATTTTCATTTAAATATGTGGACGTTTTAATGGAATGCACGGTAGTGCGATTTGAACTGCAAACAGGAAGTATCTATTGGAACGCAAACATCCTGAAATTGGAACGCATAGAAAGAAAGATGGCGTCGGCAGGTATTTCAAACAGCCGAAAATCGCGAACAGCTGGAGACAAGTGAAGGGAATGCTTATCGACTGCTATCAGTCAAAAATAACTAAAAAGGATTGTACACGTCGAAGGGGGATATTCCCCAACACAGCTGACTAATATCGGGACTCACCTTATTTAAGAATAGGGAACTGAGGGATAGCTAGGCTGAATAATTTTTTGGCATTAATTGTTATTAATTTTAAATCATTGTTTGGTCCTTGAGGAAGTTCCCATGAGGGAAAAAAACGTGTAGGACCTCATTTATTTTTATTATTATATTTCATTTAGTTTTATACCAATAAAATATTTTTTACACTACCCACCAATCGTGTTCCTGATACCTGCTCAAGTGAATGAAATACTAAGAGGATCGAACACTCATACAGGGGATGATTTGTGATATGCGCATACTTCATTGATGTCTGTAAGTGCAATCATTACAGCAGTGGAATAACTTTGATATGCTGTTGCACTATGTCTGGTTTATTTTAATTTTTTTTAGGTATACGACTGTATCCCTCTTGTTCTTGTTATCTCTATCTTATGTGAAGATCACTTACAGGCAAGTGATCGTGGGAAGCTGTATACAAAAGTTAAGTTAATATTTTTTTATCTCTAAGTAGCACTTTCTTTTGGTGTTTAAAGGGATATTCACACACACACACACACACACACATATATATATATATTCTCAGTATGAAAGTATAGTTTTGCCTTTTCATAAATCAATAGCAAGACCACACCTTAAATATGCTGTGCAATTGTGAGAATATGTTCTAAAGGATATAATGGCACTAGAAAAAGTGTAGTGGCGAGTTACAAAATTGATAAAAGGAATGGGATATGTTAGTTATGAAGAAAGGTTAACACATTTATTTCTGTTTAGTTTAGCAGAACAGCCAGCCCCTCAGAGGGGATATGATAGCATTGTACATGTATATTCTGGGCCAATACAAACCTTTGGTCAAGCGTTTAAACTGGAAGAAAGGAAATTTAGTCTAAGGCATCAGAAATTATTTTCCAGTAAGAACCTTGCCTGAAGAAGTGGTTTTATTAGAGTCTATACAGATGTTTATACAGTAACTGGATGAATACTTGCAAATATATAATATTCAGGGTTAGAATTTAGAATTTGTGGGGTAATAGCTTCATGATCCAAGTAGAGATGTGACTGCCATTTCTGGGTCAGGAAGGAAGGTTTTTCTAGTTTGTTGCAAAATTGGAAACTGCTTCAAACTGGTTTTTTTTTGCCATTTTTGGGGGATCAACAGCAATAACAGATGTGAAAAAAAGACTGAACTTGATAGACGCGTGTCTCTTTTCAGGCTGTGTAACTATGGTACAATGCTTTCAGTAAGGTTATCTGTGACAAAATGGTTCAAGAATGGATTGCACGGCACACATTTATGAATGTTTTTCTTTATTATACAGAAATTGCATAGAATTGTAGCTTTCGTCAAAAAAAAATTGTTTTTTAATACCTTTTATGCAGAATCTGGACTCCTCAATAAGATGTATTTGTTTTTATTTACTTGTATGTTTATGTTTTTTTTATTATTATTATTATTATGCAAGCCTTTTTAGACGTATTCATCTTAAATTTTAATTGAACAAAATTCCCTGGCATCATTTTTCTTATATGTTGTTGGGTATTAGCTGACATAAACAGTGAAATAATATCTTAAAACTTTACAACACCCAAATATAGACAAAAAGTAAGATTTTTACTTAAAGTTTGACTGTGTCAGCTTCTCTCCATAGATTAAATTCCTCTGCCTTTCAGCTAGTAAGATACAGCTATTACAGTTAGCCTCTTATTGCTGGCGTACTCGTGGGAGGCTACAGATTTCTTCCAGTGTGTTGTTTCTGTCATATCATACTTGTAAAGATGAAGACTGGAAGGTTTTGTTTATCAAAATAAGTTTTATCGATCACATGTAGTTAGGTTAAATATACAACAGTGGCAGGGACAAAAATACGTAGAAGTAATGTGTTCTTCTTAATAAAGAAAGTTTTACTTTTTTTTTTCACTGATACTTTTGCATTTTGAACTTATCTACATGTGAACAAGACATGCTAACCATGTTGTTTCCCACAAATTGACCGAGTACCATATTTTACTAAACAGCCACAGTGAAAACTTTGGTCAGATAAAGTGGGTTCAAGTCCCTACGGAAATATACCTACTGATTGCAAATCAGTAGATATGTGCCTACATCAGCAAAATCAATAGAACCCACAGAGATAGCTGTATGTAAATTGATGATATCACCCATGTTTGCCTGCTACTAAAGCGAGCAAACAATGCTATCTACCATTAAAACATCTGCTGTTATTATCAGCAACACAATGACATGTTGATATAAAATGACATGTTGAGATAAAATTACAAACTCACCTACCAAACTGTAAAGAACAGATGAAAAAGAGGGCCAATATTTACCAATAAAACATACTTTAAAATTTTTTTTTTAAAAAGGACAAATACCAATCACCAACATTTTTGCCAGCTAATTTGTGCATCAATATATTTGTAAAATGTCCATTAAGTCATATTCATACCAGACCATGATGACATTAACTAATGGGTTAGATCCTCACCAGGTCATTTTTAAAAAACCCACTCTGGGAAAGTGCCACACATCCCACTCCCTCTAGCATGTAAGCTCATTGAGCCGGGTCCTCAAACCCTCTCTTCCTGTGTGTCCAACTTGTCTGGTTACAAATACATATTTGTTTGTCCACCCACTGTAAAGCGCTGTGGAATTTGTTGGCGCTATATAAATAATAACATAATAATAATTTTGTTTCTCTAGAGATCGAGTATATTATACCTTATTAAATAACTTGTGTCATCCCTGTGTGCACCCTATTTAATGATTTGAGATCTGACATCTCTCTTTGAAGAGATGATAATGATATATGTGGTTTGTAGAGAACCATGTAGTTTAAGCAGATGTGGCTGTCTGATTTTCAAATTTCCAATGTTCTGATGTAACACAGGTCTGCAGCAGTACAGCTACTTGTATCACAAATGTTTATTTTTTTTCCTGTTAGGTAAGTTCGCCATTACTTTGTATTATGGCTAGTTTGTTTCATTTCAACTACCCCGATTTGATTATTTACTATTGAGGTTTCCTTACATAGACAAATCTTATGTATATCAAGTATATATGTTGTCTTGAGGGCTGTTGTTGGCCATACTGCTATTTTGTCTGTCTCTATGTCACAAATTTTTAGACTGGGAGGAGGCTATGTAATGCCTTGTAGTAAGAGAATTAGTTCCCCTTTGCTTCCTTGTGCAGGCTCCCCCATGCCCCTCGTGCATTGCCAGAGGTTGAGGGGTTAAATTATGGCATTCCACAAGCCATTGGATTGATGGAAGGAAGCTTATATGGGAGGATCCCCCGATCTTAAACTAATTCACTCTCAACTCACAGCCCAGGAGATGTGAGAGGCGAAGTCTCCAGCAACTCTGCTTTATTCTTTTTTTAACTCTTAACTGCTGCAGGTGGGAGGAACATGGGCAGATCAGGGCCACCACATATTTTTCAGCATAATTTTCCATCATTTCCATCATGTTTCATTAAGGGGTTAAAGTTTACATATTCCATTTTTATTGTCTATATTTCTGTTTTAGTCCTTTTCATACCATGTTTTCCTGGTCCTAGCTTGATATTTTTATGATATTGAAGTGGTGATTTATTTTATAAACCTGTCCTCTAGAACTGTTTCTCCCTATTGCAGTGTTTTTTTAAAGCAATTCAATATATTTTAGATTGGTAAATAAATAAGTATTATTCTTCAGCCTTTACTTTAGGGTATTGAGATGTAGTCGTGATGTTCAAGATTTCTGTTTGCATTTCTCAGAGTTTCTGTTCTTTGAGGCAAAAGTCTATGATGTGCATTTTGAAAGACTTCCTTGCATTTTAAGCTTGGAAATTTATTTTAGTAATTATGCCATGTTTTTGTAATGAAGCAAGTTACCATTCTTCTTGTAGCTCTTTTTTTAATCATTCTCCATGGATGCCTACAATTTTGTTATAAGTTAGGAAGTAGGCAGTCCCTATTTACACTGTGACCTAGCACATTGCTGTGGATGGTGTATATATTTCTCCAAGTGTGCTGCAGTGCAATATATGGTCTAATAGTACCAGGGAAAATGTTTTGTTTCCACAAAGAATCTAAGATTTAATTTGTTCCTTGTGGTGGATAATGTGGAGAGAAGGGAAGGCCACGGCTCCTCTCCACAGTTTACTCACAGCACAGCAGGTGGATGATCTAGTCCAGGAGGTTTGGATCACTCAGGTAGTTCCTCACCAGTAAGAAATTAGCAGAAGACTGCAAAATTTTCCTGTCCAAGATTCAGTGGGAGAGGGCATGGGCATTGAGTAAAAGTGTATTGTCTCTCTAGAGAGACTCCAGAGACTAATTATTACAAAGAGAAAAAAATGAATTTAAAAAAGGTCTGTGCTTTGTCTACTTTGTTTTGTTGGCAGTAGGTAAGCTGACCAACTATAGCTCATTTTTTTTTTGTTTGTTTACTAGACCTGTGAATAAAAGAGCAGTGTCTTTTCTAAAGAAATATAACTTTGTGTGGCATTTTTAAATGTTAAAAGATGGTGTGGTTATTGAGTAGAAGGTGAAAACAAAAACAAATTAAATAAAGCCCTAACACATTGGATAACCTAATTTTGGATGTTTATTTAGTCAGAACATGGACCTTACAATATTTTGACATTCACAGGGTGTAAGTCTACAAATATATAGTGATTTTACAATCAGTATAAAATGTTTTCAGGATTGCATATAGCAAAACATTGAGTTATATGGTTTCAATGTTTTAGGTAATAATCAACATAAAAATATATCGCTGCAAATTATAAATCTTTCTCTCCTTTTCTCTTTACCCTTTATCATTCATTATTTATTTACTTGTTACAATTTTATTTATGTTGTTTGTAACTAATTGCGTGAAAAGTTGGTATAATTTAATTCAAAGTTTTGCTACATGCATTCTTTTACACGTTTTACGCATATTTGTGGCATTGATTGTTTTTTAACATGCTTTATATCAGCGTGTAGCTTTTTGTAAACTTAGGTTTAACAAAGACCATGTAAGAGTCAAAACGGTCCCTCTGAGTGAACATCTGAACTGAGTTATTCAGTCTAACAAAGCTTTATTTAATGTATTATTATTTGGAGGTGTGTTTGTATGGAAAACTTGCCAAGAACACCACCATCTTGAGTGCCTGCCTACTTAAAGGACCACTATAGGCACCCAGACCACTTCAGCTCAATGAAGTGGTCTGAGTGCCAGGTCCCTCTAGGGTTAACCCTGCCTGCTGCCATGTTTACAATAGGTTAATCCAGCCTCTAGTGGCTGTCTCATTGACAGCCGCTAGAGGCGCTTCGGCACTTCTCACTGTGATTTTCACAGTGAGAAGATGACAGTGTCCATAGGAAAGCATTGAAAATGCTTTTCTATGGACTGACTGAATGCGCGTGCGGCTCTTGCCGCGCATGCGCATTCAGCCGAAGAGGGAGGAGAGTCCCCAGCGCCCGGCGCTGGAGGAAGGTAAGTGATTAACCCCTTCCTACCCTTAGAGCCCGGAGGGAGTGGGGCCCTGAGGGTGGGGGGGACCTAAAGACCATATAGTGCCAGGAAAACAAGATTGTTTTCCTGGCACGATAGTGGTCCTTTAATTTAAATTTACTAGATATACCAAAAGAGTTTTTTATTTCATGTAATTTCATGTCATTTGTTCAGTGAGTGAGAGGAGCTAACCCATTAATAAATGCTGACCTGGTGATTGATCTAAAAAAACTAAATGCTCCTTCATTTTAATATTAATAACTGAGTGGGACATGTTTTATTATGTCATTTAAGCCTAGCCTGAATGAGTTTCTGGTATGACTCCTGACATTTTACTCTGATGTTCATACATTTTTAGAAAACAGTCACTCTCCATATATCTGCCAATAGTAAAAGGAAGTTAAATCAACTTCAAGTGAGACAGTTAAAACAGATACCATTCTGGTGAGGAGTCCCTTATTTGTTATGCTATAGAACATTTAATCCCATTTCAAAACAAAATAAATCATTTCATGATTTTTTTCCCTCTTATTTTATGTCTGCCATTTGTAACTCTTAGTAAAAAGTTTACATTTACAATATGATGATCTGTAAAAAAGAAAACATGGAATTTATTTTTAGTTAATGTCTCTTCTATTCAGGCTCACTGCTGTTTGTTGTTTTATCCCACACCAAGCTTTCCTCACTTTGTGCTGGGGACCCTCCGGGTGGACGAGCTCGAAGGCCTTGGAAGCGCCGGCACTCTGGGCATACTCGGATATGTGTACACCCCCTAGCTACTAGAGCTGCTTCCTGTGCCAGTCTCTGTGCCAATGGATCAGGGCCACTGCCCCCACAAAGTTTTCCATTGCTTAGAATGCTACTGTTCCGACCCCTAGTTTCATCCAAAATAGTTTGTCTGGAGCGTATAATACCTCCACGTCTCCTTCGAGGCAGAAAACTGTCCTTGCAAAGAATTATGTTGCTCAGCTCTGACACCATCTCATGGCAAACAGAAATCTAAAAAACAAGCACAACATTTGTTGACAACAATAAAATATAGAGGATGTATGTATTCAAATTGTATTAGCAATTATAAGCTTCTCCTTAGTACTGTAAACCTAATATTTGATTCCTCAATATTCCCTCTTAATTATAGTATATACTTAATAGATTATTTTAAAAATATCAGCCATAAAACTAGCTCTAGGTATGGAAAACACAGTCAGTGTAATATTTGCAAGACAAAAAGTCTAGAGAATGAATGGCTAAGAGAACATCATAAACACTATGGTGAAAGTGGAGTTACACCAACTATAGCAATGTATTTTAATATATGTGTTACACAAAAAAAGCCAATGTCTTGCTTCAGGAAAGTGAAAAAGGACGCCATCAATTAGATGGTCTAAGCTTGAAAATGAATAAATGTCACATCCAACCCTTCCTTGATATAATGTAGATATATATTTCTCCTATCTACCTCTTTATCTACCTATTTCTTTTTTCTATACCTGTTCCCAGTGTTTTGTCGATCCTTGCATTCTGATTATCTTTCTATTTAATACTATCCACATGATCATTATTTTGTCTACTCCAGCACTTCCCTGCTTTTGGCTGGAGGAACTATTGTTTGTATCGAGCATCATAAAGTGCAGTATTTGAATGTCAATTGTAATTTGTTGCTATCTGTGTTGTGTACAATTGTGCTTTATTCTTAGTGTTACATTTATTATATTATTTCAGAAGGAAGATTATGTTTTCAAATTCTATGTTGCATTAAAAACCATAATAATCATTGTGACTGATATTGTGCAGTGTAGGGTCAATAATCTCATAGAAACACTGGGATGTACATGTTCCAACGTGCCCATGATTAATGGGGTTTACACTCTGTAAAAAATGATATAGACAACATTGATTCTGCAATTGTGGTAAGTGTGGCAATATGGAGTGTAGTATTACGTAGGAGACTAAACTTATCAAGATAGCAGTTAAGATTTGCCTGTTATAGCATTCTGATTGGTTGACTAACTGGAACAGCATAGCATTGGACAGTGCTGATCAAAGTGTAGATCAGCAGATGTTCTAGAACATCAAATGCCTTGATGCTTATCAAGCATTTAGAATGGAAGCGGAAAATGGAAGTTGCAGTTCTATAACATATGAGGATCTGACGTTTGCCCAGCCTAGCATAGGGAGTATAACATGGACATAATTTTGAGGAGGGGTGGAAATGTCATTTCCACCCCCATTTCTCTATTTAATCATAACACCCACCTGACACCGATAGGGGGAAGCTGGGTGGAACATTAGGTCCCCCAGTTGTTAAAATTACAGCTCCCACCCACTGACCATTGGTGGGAAGGAAACAAAGTTCCTTCCAATTTAATATTTCACTAATTGGAACCACCATGAGTGTAGTGGGAACACCAGGATGTCCCCACGCTTTTTAATTTAATAGTCAGAAGCCCTCAGAAGCCTACAGGTTGTGGTACTGGGGGGATGGACAGTCTTTTGTTCAACCCCTATATTTACTCAGAAGCCCACAGGTTGTGGCACTATGGTAGACCTGTGCCATGTCCCCTCTGTTTGTTACTAGTTTATTTAGGTGCTAGTTTATTATTAAAGCGAGCAGCTGCTGGCTGCTTTCTGTTTAGCAGACATGCCTGCAACTACTGAATGATAAGAAGGGTAATTTGGGAGGTGTAAAATCGAGCTTATAATGATATTGATAATATTGATCTCCATAGGCATTTCTTTTATTTCTTTTTTGTATGACTAAAAGGGTTGTGAGAGGCAATGAGAATAAAGAGTAAACAATGAAAGTCACAAATCCCTACTCATGTTTTCTCTCAGGCAAAAAAGAGCCAGTAGTAGACACTCAATGTTCCATTTTCAAACTTACTATAATCATCAGCAGGATCATAGTGCAGGTAAAATGAAAATAGCATAGTCGGTTGCTTTGGTTTTGCGGTGACAGTATACATAAGCCCTCAGATTTTTTAGCATTATATAATTTTAGTAATTACCGTATATATTCGAGTATAAGTCGACCCGAATATAAGTCGAGACCCCTAATTTTACCCCAAAATGTGTATGAGTACAGTGTGTGTGTGTATGAGTACAGTGTGTGTGTGTATGAGTGCAGTGTGTGTGTGTATGAATGCAGTGTGTGTGTGTGTGTGTGTGTGTGTATGAATGCAGTGTGTGTGTGTGTTTGAATGCAGTGTGTGTATGTGATGCAGAACCTTGGTGGGGGGTGGGCAAAATTTTTATTTTTAATTATTATTATTATTTTTTTTAATTTATATTATTAATATTGTTTTTATTTTAATATTATTTAGTTTTTTATTTATATTTTTTTCGTCCCCCCTCCCGGCTTGTTAGCTGGACAGGGAGGGGGGCTCTCATTCCCTGGTGGTCCAGTGGATGGGCTGTGTAGGAGGGGGCTGGCAGAGAGCTGTAACTTACCTTTCCTGCAGGTCCTGTCAGCTCCCTTCTCCTCCGTGCCGGTCAGCTCCCTTCTCCTCCACTGTAAGTCTCGCGGTGTGACTGCCGTGCGGAGCGTTGCCACGGTAACCTGTGGCAACACTCTGACCCCGCGGCTCTCGCCAGATTTACAGTGGAGCTGACAGGGGAGCTGACCGGAATGGAGGTGAAGGGAGCTGACAGGAGCTGCAGGATAGGTAAATTAAAGCTCGCTGCCAGCCCCCAACAGGACCGCCGGGCTTGTAATGAGCCCGGCGGTCCTTGTCTGTATTATGGAAATGTAAGTTGCCATAATACAGACATTGACTCGAGTATAAGTCGAGTGGGGGTTTTTCAGCACAAAAAATGTGCTGAAAAACACAACTTATACTCGAGAATATATACGGTAATATATTAATCACTGAGGCTAAAAGTACTAAGCAAAAAATTATTTCACAATTATTTAACATTAAAATAATTGAATATAACAACTGATGAAAACAAATTTTTAAAGGAATAATTACCTCAAATGTGACAACTTATTACACTAATTTTGTATGATTTTGTTTTGTATTTTGATGTTATGAACAAACCACATTAATTTATATAGATAAAATTTAAAATGATAATCCTTGAATATTACCTCTGATTCCTCAGAATTTCGTACAGTCCACAGGAACTCCAACATGGCCATGAAAATAGCTGCTATCAAACCACAGATTAATACCACAAAGATGCCACCAATATTTTCCATTCCTAGACCTTTGTGAAAATCAGAGAAAAAAACTAAATTGTAAAACAATGAACATCTATGGTTAAACAGCCAACTGTAGAGAATATTGAAGCAATATTGTGTACATTATTATTGTGTATATTATTATGCTAATACCTGAATTTTAGGAACCATTTAAATAAAAATACTAGTGATCATAGGGAAATATAATGCAGTCTATTGTGTGTAATGGTTCTACCAAAAGAAAGGAATAAAGTGACACTGAGAAATAATAAAGGGAATTAATTTAAAATGAAGATATCACGTATATTGACAGTTACCACTGCAGTGGGAGGGAGATTAGTCGTGGGGATGGAAACTATGTTAAACTGACATTTCTCCTTTATTGTCATTGGAAGAAAAAAATAGCCCATACAATGTTGAAAATTAATTATTCACAATTTTGAACTAATTTTAGACAATCTTAAGCACTTTTTTTTACCAGTTACAATTTGTAGAAAGGTTCGCTAAAAGCATAGTTTTATTGAACTAATGTTGAAAATAATGAATGTTGAAAAAAATGTTTGAGAACAAAAGAGATATTGAAACCCCTAAAACAAAAGACTGACAACAAAATACAAACATACAAAAATAATACAACACACCATTGCATATGGCCTCCTACACAATTACTCCATAAAAGACTCCCATATATACCAATCAATACCCAATCTAAAGCACACCATACACCAGTGTACATACAACAATTATACATACCATGCAAAATACTTTCATTTTTTTTCTGTTGTGGGCTGAGGCAACAGTGATTGCTGGACTGTATGTAAGTACAAAGAAGTTTTTCTTATATTGATTTGTATTTATAAAAAAACTGAAATCAATCACCTTAATTAACACAACAAGTGCTTGGTGATTAAAATAATAATAAATCAACCTAGCTTTTAACAATTAGCTTCCCTTGGTAACCTTCCCAGCTGGTTACCACAATAGTAGAAATGTATTTGCAAAAAAAAAGGGATACAGCTGTACATAAGATGTAGACTTTAAGACCACCTTAAAGGTGCCTACTCCAGGTAATGGGGGTGTGTGTAGACCTCCTCTAGTCACTGGTGTTCCTAATACAGGAGCTGAGAAAGGTCAGGAATACAGGTAATATAAATTTTTTTTATTTATTACGCCAAAAAAGGAATGTAAAATACATATCGTAGAGCCCAGGTCCTACGCGTTTCGTTTATATGTGAACTTCTTCAGGGACATCCAGCCATAAAACAAATACAATGCAGTAAAATATTGGTATACA